AAACTACACCTGAAGCAGATCTTCCCTTCAAACCTGTTAAAACTGGACAGGTCATCTCCTTTGCATTCAACTGGAAGCTGTAGCGATGGGTTTCTTCAGATGTTGGCTCATGAGCTCCCTGGCACGAGATACTTGAATGTGTTCGTAACATGAGTTACAGACGAGAACTGGGTCATAGAGCTGTTGATCAGGAATGGGCAGCTTCAGGTGGCAGCATCCAGCACAAAATACATTCCCACAATTTCTGCCAAAACACAAAGAAGGAAGAGTTAATCAGAAATGCCAGTATGCTGAGAAAGAATTACAATCTAAAAGGCCTTCCATGAATGAACAAAGAGAAAGGTCGGTGCAAACATGATTCCTATAAGGCTTTAATATCTCCATTTTCAGAGTAATTCAAATTAGTTCAATAACTATGTGCTGCACTGTTTTTTTTTTAAATATTTATTTAGTTGTAGATGACCACACAGTATCATTATTTATTTTATGTGGTGAATTGAATGTGAGGATTGAACCCAGTACCTCACACATTGCGAGGCAAGCACTTTTCCACTGAGCCTCAGCCCCTATGTACTGCACTATTTTATGAGTCACACAGAACATCTTACCTGCAATGGTGTCTTCGTTTGGCCAACCAGAATTCACAGTCACAGTTATAGCAATGCGATGCCATATGGTCTGGAACCCAGCGAGTCACCTAACAAAAGGCACAAGGAAAAATCCTAGGTCCTTGTCAATAGAATGGAAGAGCAACATTACAACAAGGAGAGCAGCCCAGGTGAAAATGACATGAATCTGGGGGAAAGGTCAGTCTATAGCATGTGACTTATCTCTGAGAAATATAACTCATTAGCTCACATGAAGCACCCACCACATATTTGCCTAGACATACCTCAGTCTCCTTCTTATCCACAGGTTCCCAACTTGCTTCTGAAAGGCAGTCTTCACTGTGATCAGAGCCAAAATCTTCTGTATCACTGCCATCTGACTCCTTCAAACAAGTCTGAAAAAAAGGCAGAAAATATCAATATCACCTTTATCACCACTAATGCTGTTTACTACGTGCCAGGCACCATTCTAAGTACATTATATACATAAACTTGTTTAATTCCTCACAATAGTTTTTCACTGTGTAGTACTTTTATCCTCATTTTACAAATAAGGAAACTAAGCCAGAGGAAAATTAAGTTTCATGCCAGTCATTGTGGCACATGCCTGAAATCCCAGGGACTCAGGAGGCTGAGGCAGGAGAATCAAAATTTCAGAGCCAGTCTCAGTAACTTGGTGAGGCTCACAGTAACTTATCAAAACCTTGTCTCAAAATGAAAAAATTTTAAAAGACGGGCTGGAGATGGGGCTCAGTTGATTAAACATCCCTGAGTTCAATGGAAGGAAGGCAGGCAGAAAGATAGATTTAAGTTTTGGTAAGTGGTAAAGCTGGATTTGAACCTAATATTCTGGCTTCAGACCCATGCTCTTAATCAGTATGCTATATCACAGGGCAGAAAGACTCTCTCTTGTGGCATCCTAAACCAGGCATTAGCAAATTGGCCCACAAGCCAATATTTACAATATAGGCCAATATATCCAGCCCATCTTCATAAATCAAGTTTTACTAGAACATAGCCTAATTCATTCATTTACATTAATCATCTATGGCTATTTTTTTAAACATTTATTCTTTAGTTGTAGGTGGACACAGTACCTTCATTTAATTTTTATGTGGTTCTGAGGATCGAACCCAGAGCCTCACACATGTTAGGCGAGCGCTTTTCCTCTGAGCCACAACCCCAGCCTCATCTATGGCTATTTTTGTGCTACAAAGGCCACATAGTTATGACATAGATGGTATGGCCCCCACAAACCCTAAATATTTGCTATCTGGCCTTTAAAAAAATTGAGTTTTCTGACTTCAGTTTAAAAGCATTACCCTGAATATTAAGTTGTTAGCTCCATCCACGCCACTAGAGAGATGTGGGCAGAAAACAAGTGGGAGTGCCTTAACAGATGGAATGGAAGTGCCTATATAGCAAAATATTATGGGGGAGGGCAGGGGTTGTGGCTCAGTGGTAGAGCACTTGCCTAACACATGTTAGGCACTGGGTTAGATTCTCAGTTCCACATAACAAAATGAATAAATAAAGCAAAGGTTAAAAAAAAAAAAATGGGGGAGAGAATGGATCCTAGAAGCTCCCCCAGGATTGTCATGCGAAAACCTGAAGCAACCCAACACAGTAAAGCCTGCCTGGTCCTCCTCAGCTCTCACCAGGATTGTTCCAAAATGTCCTAACCAGCCTCTCAGTCTGGATCCAACCTCCTACACTGAGCCAGGCATGGTGGCACTAGCCTGTAATTCCAGCGACTCGGGAGGCTGAGAAAGGAGGATTACAAGTTCAAAGACAGCCCCAGCAACTGCTAGGCACTAAGTAACTCAGTGAGACTCTGTCTCTAAATAAAATATAAAATAGGGCTGGGGATGTGGCTCAGTGGTCAAGTGCCCCTGAGTTCAATCCCCAGTACCAAAAATAAAAAACAAAATCCTACACTGTTTATTAGGCTCTTGCTCAGTGACAGAATGCCTGCTTACCATATGCAAGACCCTGAGTTCAATCCCCAATAATTCTCTCCCTCTCCCTCTCCCTCTCCCTCTCTCTCTCTCTCTCTCTCTCTCTCTCTCTCTCTCTCTC